GGCAAGATCCCTCACCCCTGTTTTCAGGTGGCCTGGTGTCTCTTAGGTCCAAGTCCTCCTTAGCTCAACCTTTCCAAAGTGAAACCGCCACCTCTTTTCATGGTGAGAAGGTAGTAGTTGTCTTTCTTCATGGGAGAGGAGAAGAGACTTGGGGTCTCACTGTTCCTATGAAGAATCTTGGCAGATCCTTCCCTTTGCAGCCCCACCTCCCAGTGCCCCTGAAGTCTCCGATTCTAAAGTCTTTCAGCATTTTTGGGGTGAAAGCACATACTTTGGGAAGCTTTCTCCCATAGGGCTTAACCCTCTAGCCTGCTAGCTCAGCATCTGCTTTCTAGCATCTCATTGGCCGCTGTCTTTCCTCGGGTTTGTTTTCTACTTGCAGGATATTGTCTTTCAGTCCTTTTGCTCTCACTTTAGTGGGGTTTCAGAAGGAAGAGGAGATAGGGGCGCCTGGGTGGCTCAGTTGGTTGAGCGACTGCCTTTGGCTCAGGTCACGATCCTGGAGTCTTGGGATCGAGTCCCACATCGGGCTCCCAGCTCAGCGGGGAGTCTGCTTCTCCCTCCGACCCTCTTCCCTCTCGTGTTCTCTATCTCTCATTCTCTCTCTCTCAAATGAATAAATAAAATCTTAAAAAAAAAAGAAGGAAGAGGAGATAAATGTGTGTGCTCAATCACCTATGTATCTTCCTTCTGCTATTAAAAAAATGGAAGGCCCCTGGGTGGCTCAGTTGGTTGAGTGTCGTCTGCCTCCAGTTCAGGTCATGATCCCAGGGTCCTGGGATCGAGTCCCACATCCAGCTCCCAGCTTCTCCCTTTCCCTGTGTGCTTTCCCTCTCTCTTTCTTTCTTGCTCTTGCTCTCTCTCAGATAAATAAATAAAATCTTAAAAAAAAAAACGGAAACGGGACCCATTTAAAAAGGGTGTTCTGATGTGGATGATAGAAGGACAGTGTGGAACCTCTATTCAGAAGCCCATCGTGGAGAAAAAGGCATTGACCTTACATTAGGAGCTTGGGGGAAAAATAAGTATATTCTTTTAAATATGCTCAAGCTATGTAGTATTATTATTTACAACTCTCCACATTTATTGGGTTTCTCAATTAATCAATATTCTGTTCCTGACTTATATAAAAGATAGTCTCTTTTATCCCTGTAACGGTAATTAATAGCAGGTGGTGGTTGTCTTGGACAAGTGGAAAAAAAGTCCAGGACCGTGCGTTCAACCCTTCTGTTTTCCAGGTAACTGAGCAGCTAAGTTGTCTGTGGAGGCGGACTGACTATAGGAGGGGATAGTGTGACCATTCCTCCCTCTTTCATTTGTTCATTAATTCTTTCACGAAACTTCTGTTGTCTACATGCTGTTTGCTGTGCTCTGGTGGGTCTCCCTGTGGGGATTCCGAGGCGTTGACTTAACCCCACACCGATATTTCCTGGTTGGTCACAAGCATGAAGGGATATTGTTGTCTTTTCTCCGGGCTGGGTGCATGTCGTGGATTTTTTTTTTTTTTTTAACTTGTTGACTGAAGGTGAAAATGGATCTTTGTTCTCTTAATTTTGGTCAGGAAGGCAACCACCTATGTGGAACAAGTATGATAAGGGGAGGGAAATACAATGTATTAGAGACTCCCTTTCTTTTTTTTTATTTTTTAGAAGATTTATTATTTATTTGAGAGAGAGAGAGAGCACAAGTGGAAGGGGCAGAGGGAGGGGGAGATAGAATCTCAAGCACCGGTTGGTTCAGTTGGTTAAGCTCCTGCCTTTGGCTCAGGTCATGATCCTGGGATCAAGCCCCAAGTTGGGCTCCCTGCTCAGCAGGGAGTCTGCTTCCCCCTTTCCCTTTGACCCTCCCCCACTTGTCCACCCAGGGTCTCTCTCTCTGTCTCTCAAGTAAATAAATAAAATCTTTAAAAGAAAAAAAAAGAATCTCAAGCAATCTCCATGCTGAGTGCAGAGCTCAATTTGCGGCTCGGTCTCAGGACCTGAGCTGAAACCGAGTCAGTCGCTCAGTCGACTGCACCACCCAGGCACCCCATAAAATACAGTTTTATACCTATCATTGGTGTGACATTACCTTGATTTAGCTAGGGTACAGAGAAATGAGGATTCTTCTATGCTGGTGGTAGAATGTAAATCTGTCAGTGAGACTCCCTTTCTTGTGAATAGAATCATCTGGATTGCTCTGACAAGAGACACTGGTTAATAGTCACTTTCGAACACAAGGACTCAGTGTCATTTTAGTCCTCACTCAGACTACTGTTCCGCAAGATTTAGCAGCATGATAGGCCCCAGGGAAGGTTCCCTCACTTAGCGCCAAGCTTTAAGCTACCACATCACAACCTTAAAGGCACACCCTTTAGGGAAAGCAGAAGGCAGAAACAGCCTGCCAAGGAGGATGGCCAGACCCGTTCTGGCTCTTGGTCTTCTTTCCTCCATTCTGGAAAGATGTCACTTGGAAGGATGATTTTTCTTAGAAGAATCATGGTTCACTTCTACAGTGTGGAACCAACTTGAGTTTCAGTCTACACAGAAATTCAGCCCCAAATGACCTGGCCTGCAGGTTGTTTGTGGCTCTAGCCTTCCCATCGTCACACAAGAGGCTAAAGAAACTCCCTGTGGTGATTTCTAGGTCTCTGGCATCTGTTAAGAATAAGAGGATCCATATACTTGTCCACTTGCTTAGGTGTGTGTGTGTGTGTGTGTGTGTGTGTGTGTGTGTGTGTGTGTAAATCATATAATCCTATCCATACACATAACTGCCATCATTTTTCAAAATTCCTTCTTTTTTTCCCCTGTTAGTGCCCATCCAGCTTTACACTCTCTGCACAAGATATTGTCCCGCTAATGAAGGGCAGGGAGGGATTCTATAAGTGGCATTTGTAAGGCAAGAGGGCTCATTGAGAAGTGACAGAAGCGGTTGGGGTGGAACAGAGTCCGCTAGGACCGGAGGAAATGTGGGAGGAGCACTAGAGGGGGTGCAGAAGGATGAGAGCCTCGGACCCAAGACCCGGAGAGTGGAGACCGAAAGTTAGAGAGGGTGGAGGAAAGGTCCCGGACAGGGTGGGTGTGGTGAAACCGGCAGGGAATAATCCACCCGGGGAGAGGGAAGGAGCCGGGGATTTCTTTAAGTACTTTGTGTTTGCTTCTCCTTTTACTTTAGTTTTTAGTGGCAGACTTCTGAGGTCTGAGAAAATGTGGGGTAGGTGCAGCTCCCACAGTCCTAGGAACTCAGGGCAACTTGTCAGTGATTATAGGTGATTCTCAGGTCTTTTTTTGCCCAAGCCTGACAAGTCAGACCTGTAGGCTTTGTGGCAGGGACAGGGAGAGGAGAGAAAGCTCTAAGAGACATCCACGCCCCTGCTCAGGTTCGCTAACATTTAAACAATGAGAAGGGTCTATGCCTAGAAGCTCCCTCCCTGTCTTCCACCAGGAACTCAGGGGGAAGACCTCGTGATGGGGGACGGTTTACCTCAACGATGCACTATTAACAGTCAGTGAAAATTGGCCATATCTCAGAAAACATAAACCTTCCATCTTTAGAATACACTTACTGTCAAAAAAAAAAAAATTCCGGGTATAGACTAACACTTGCTTATAAAAAAGAATCCAAACAGAAAGCAAGGAACTCTGACTTCCAGCACAGGTCTTTCTGGCCCCGAGGAAGTTTGCCCTAGGAGCGTAGTCATGAACAAGCCGTGGCTCCAGGAGCTTCGTTCTGCAGAGTGGGGGGTGCGGAAGCTAGGCGGCTACCACAGGTGGTAGACTTGGCAGAGAGAAGAGCATATGGGTTCGCCAACAGAAATAGATGTCACCATCTGGCACACAAGCCCCTCAGCAGATCCCATTACCTCCCTGCCCTACCCCTATCCAGGTGGAGTGCTGATGGCATTTAAGATACATTTGATTAACTTTTTTTAATGACAGAGTCCTGGTTTTAAGCAAACGTAGATAGAAGGCGATGTGTTTTGTTAGGGGTGTCTGCCCAAGGTGGCGCTCAAAGAATAGGGGAGAAGTTTCTGAAGATAGCCCATCTCTGACATGATTGCTTGGGATGGAACTGGGTGTCTTCTCTTCTAACAGCAGAAGTGTAATCCCCAGGAAAGAGGCAAATCAGCATGCCAGCTATCGATGAGCAAGTAAAAATTGATTCCTGGATGGGAGGTGTCTCTGCAGAAAGACTTCCTGGAGGCATCGCTCCCCAGCCCCTATATGACTTTCAAATCCAACTTCCGGACATAGATTGTTGGGTGGTTTAGTGGTTTATTTTGTGCAGGATTTGAACATAAATGCCAGACTGTGGCCATTTGGGATATAGTCAGGAAAGCCAGATGTGCTGTGGATATCTTGTTGGATTGCAACATCTAGAATCTCAATGGTTGTGAACCTTCAGAATCGTACTTGGCACTATGGAATCGTGGAGAAATGGGGCACCTGTTTCAGTGCTGTTGTTTTGTCTGTGCCTCAGTTCACGTGATCAGGTTGTTCCGTGGCACGTCTCCTGTAGATTCACTACACCCTTCAGCGGCCGTGACACCATGCCTAGATTCCAGTCACAGGGTGGCCTTGCATCCAGTTCTAAAAGCTTGACTCTTTGGACTGGAACAACCCACTCCTTAAAATGCCTCATACAGTAAACTCTGGAAACTAACCCCCAGATTGAAAGTCCTTGTTTAAATAAGAGAGCCTTCGCTGCTGGAATTGGTTGCGGTATCACTCACCTTGGGAAGGTTCCTTGTTCATGCAGGGATGACCTGTCTGTGGGCTAAAGAACAGTGCTCCTCCCTTCGAGTCAGACATCCTTTGCTGGACTCAGGGATGCATGCTGTGCAGAAGGGGTGTGTTTGGAATTGGATGAAACTCTGGGCATCTCTTCAGATTCCCTCCTTACACAGTGGATGGCCGGAGGGGCCTCTCAGTCCGTGTCTGTTCTAGAGACCAGACAGTAAAGAGAACCCTAGTTCTGCTGATGATCAATCAGAATTCCACCCCCCCACCCCCCTTCAGATCCATGAGAAAGAAGAGGAAGAGTTCAATGAGAAGAGTGAACATGATTCTGGTATCAATGAGGAACCTCTACTCACAGCAGATCAGGTATGAATATTTCTCTTGGTTCTTGGGACTCTTTGTTCTTTGGATCAAGAAAAAGTCTAAGTACATACTTGTCATGTCCGTTTAAAGCAGAAGACAAATATATGGTCTCGTGGTTGCCTGGTCGATGACTTGGAGTGTCTTTGATAAGGGATTTCATGTCTCTCTAGGCCTCAGTTTACCCGCCTGCAGTAAACTGGAACGTAATTCCTGACACTTGGGTTGGGCGGGGCTCATGTTTGATTGTAGCCAGAGATAGGCCTGGTGTTGACGGGCTTCACTTCTTGCTAAACCTCTGAGTGTAGTCTCATTAAGAGTCAAGACACTTAAATGAGGGTCCCAAATACCTATTCTTGCAAAAATAGAAGTGACAGTTGAGGCTTTTGTATGATGGGTATTTTCTCATATTTCATAGAGCACACAAAAGGTTGAGCCTTCCAAAAGGAGTCTTAACGGACAGTTGTGTCTTTGCTTAAAAAAAAAAGGGGGTGCTTGACATTTGACTGAATTAATTATATTTTGGCTTTAGTCATTTATTACTTAGCGGGGAATAATCTTGGGTCTCTGGATTTTTTTTTCAACTTTTCGGTCAACAAATATTTCTGGGCGACTTTTTGAGCAGGTGCCATACAAGTTTTTCACAAAGTAGTTTCGAAAAAGCTCCACCAGGAGCCTGTGGGGCCAGAAAGTGCTTTTCGGCCAAAGGAACTCTTTCATATCTGTGGCAAAAAGGTGGGATATTAAACAGGTAAGGATCAAGAGATTGAAGGGCACCAGATGAAAAGAGAAGAGGGGCTGACATTTCTTCCTGTGAGCTGTAAGGGAACTACAATTCAGTGATCCAAGGTTAGCGATAAGTTCTCTGTGGGAGAAGGAGAAACTCAGCCATAACATTCTGAAGGGGGTTTGTCATTTGCTTGCACTTTATAAACGGCTTTCAGGAAGCAAAGCCTAAGTATTCCCTAAATTTGCTGAATGGAGGTGAGAAGTTGTGGGAACAAAATAGAAATTATTCTTAAGGTGTGGGCCCCCTAAGTCCCCTTGTCCTTGGTCCAGCTAACGTGAAGAAGCCTGCCTCAGAGAGAACACAGCCCAGGGGCCTGGAGCCTGAATCCGTCACAGAATTGAGGACAGACAAATGCAGAGTGCCCTGTCGTGACCAGACCCATCCATGGACGGCTTTCAGACTGTCTTTGCTTCTTCCATTTTCTTTATGTGTCAACAGTTAATGAACGGAGCAGCTCACCCGTCTTCCTCTGACGATCCTCTGATTTAGCTCTCTCTTCTGGGGGCTGATCCCTAGTAAGAGTGGAGATTACAGCTGGGTTTCTTAGCTCCTTTCTGCTCTCCAGACCCTACTTACCCTTTTGTTATGTTAGCCTCCTGTTTGGCATTTGTGGCTGCACTGCTCAAGTTCCTATCCAGGTGAATTCTGGAGAAATTTCCTCTACGTAAAAAAAAAAAAAAAAAAAAAAGAAAGCCTCCCCATTTTGAGTTGTTCTGGGAACAGCGTAAGCACTGTAACAATTAATGGACTGGGTTTTGTGTTAAAGTTGGGTGGCTAGAGTGTTTTCCCACTTAGAAATAAAGTGCTCAGCACATTGAAGTAAATGTTCCTTCCAGGCAGCTCTGCTTTGTTTCCCGAAAGAGGAGTTTATTTCCAATAAAGCACTCATCTAAATGGTGTTCTTGGAAGAGATGGCACATTCAAGAGTGCTTTACATTAACGGAACAGTGTGTGTAAGCCTTTGGTCAGGTCTATTTTTATTATTATTCAACATTTATTAAATAACAATATTGCTTTAGGAATTTTATAGGCAGCAAGTTAGAGACATCCTTAACTGATCAAAATCCGAGTCGGGATGTCCCTCCAGCAGAGAACAGAGTTAGCACTCTCTTGCGTACCTCCTTCAGGTGATTGAGGAGATAGAAGAAATGATGCAGAACTCCCCAGACCCTGAGGAAGAAGAGGAGGTCCTGGAAGAGGAGGATGAGGGAGAAACCTCCTCCCAGGCAGACTCAGTCCTCCTGCGGGAGATGCAGGCCTTGACCCAGACCTTCAACAACAACTGGTCCCACGAAGGTGAGGGGCCTGGTGGGTGGGCTTACTGAGGATGAACCCTCCTGCCTGTGGGCCAGGCCGTGGGCACATGCTTCACATGTAGCTAGTAGGACCTCCAATCCAGGGAGTTGGCAATCCCTTTCTTACTGGCGGTCAGGAGAGAAGTTAGCAAATTTTGGGGGTTAGGGGGAAAGGCAGTCGAGCAAAATCAAAATGGTAAAACTAACCAAAGAACAAGACTGAAGCAGAATAAGCAGAAGAAATCGGAATCCATTCTCCAAAATGATGCTACCATAAAATCAATGAAAAAGGTAATAATCATGATAGCTGATATTTTTGGAAAGCTCTCTATGTGCCAGACCCAATTATAAGAATTTCTGTGCATCATCTCATTTCATCCCCACCCCAACTCCATTAGGATTGGGGTAATTGAGGATATGCTGAGAGGCTAAGTGACTTGTTCAATGCCACTGCTGGGGACATATAATTAAAAACAGAATCTCCTCCCCACCCAGAAAACCTTTCCACCGAAGAAGAGAAAGCCAACAATTTTATTATTGAATAAGCGTGAAGCCAGAACAGAGCACCCTTCACAGGCAACTCGCTGAAGGGATTGCAAAACCAGAAAGAAATCCTACTCTCGTCTACAACCCATTACATTAAATCGGTTTAGCAGTCTGGAGAAGGGCGACTAGTTAGGGCCCTGTCATCTTCCTTGATGATGACTTTTCCAACCTGTGCCTCCCAGGTGGTTGAGGAAATACTGCTGAGTCCTGGAACTGACAAGGGGCTTATTTTGCTGTTCAAATGATTGGTGTCCATCTGCAAAGGACAGAGGAAGGCATTCGCAGAGAACAGGCAGGGGAAGGAGAGAGAAAGTCTCTTTCCTTACTTTCAACAGGGAGAGCCAAGCTTCCTATTTTTCATTTGTATCTGCCCCAACACCACATCCCGGTGGTAAGCGGTGGGGCCCACAAGCAAAGCCAGGCAGGTTAACACCAGAATCCACACTCTTTTTTTTTTTTTTTAAAGGTTTTATTTATTTATTTGTCAGAGAGAGAGAGAGAGAGAGAGCACAAGTAGGGGGAGTGGCAGGCAGAAGGAGAAGCAGGCTCCCTGCTGAGCATGGAGTCTGATTTGGGACTCGATCCCAGGACCCTGGGATCACGACCTGAGCTGAAGGCAGACGCTTAGCCGACTGAGCCACCCAGGCATCCCCAGAATCCACACTCTTAATCTGTGTGTCGTGTTAGCTCTCTGACACAGGTTCATAGTAATTATGATCACTCAAAGAAAGGGGTGGATAAGGTGTGAAATGAAAGGATATGACACAGAAAGGCAGAACTGAGTATAAAAGCCATCCGTCTGGAAGGGTAATGGTGCCCGTCCTGCAGGAGGGGCCGCGCTCCTTGGGAGGAGATGCACCTGTGGGCTGGCAGAGACTTAGAAACAATGCAGAGGGAAGGCCGGCTGGGCAGGTGTCAAGGTCCAAACACGGGTGAAAATCGAGGCCTGCTCTGAGGAACCATGTCCTGAAAATGAAACTCTGTGGCTCTAAAGAGCAGAGTCCGGGGTCAGGGCAAAAGCAGAAGGAATGTGTTCGCAATGATGGGGCAGATTTGGCTGTGGAGCTGCATTCAGGCTGGTCTCAGCCACACAAAGGCTCCAAACATAGCTGCGCTCAGCGGAAGACTCAGGAAAACAGCTGAAGTGCACAGTGAAATGGCAAACGCAGGAGGGGGACAGCTCTAAAGAGCAGAATAAAGGGGGAGGTCGAACCGAGTCAGCAAATCCACAGGCCACGGCAGAAACAGAGAAGTAAAATGGATTCTGGGGCAGAAACAAAAGATGTTAGAAAGGGACAAATTTGAAAAGATGCTCCCCCCAATCTATTATTATTATTATTATTTTAAGTAGGCTCCCTGCCCACCATGGGGCTTGAACTCGTAACCTTGGGATCGAGAGTGGCATGCTCTACAGACTGAGCCCACCAGATGCACTCTCCCCCCCAATCTATTTTAAATGAAGAAATCGGAAGGGACAAGAGCTTAAGACTAAGTTTTCTGTACCCCATTATCTCAGCTTCCCTTTCCTTTTCTCTGACAGCAGGCTCGGTACCAGCCAGCCAGGGCGCACTTTTCAGTCTGTGGTCCCAGTCTGCCGCACGTTTCCTGTGTTTCTGCATATCTGCACTGTCGCGCAGGACCATGGGGTGAAGGGGGCTCAGATCGCTGTGCTTATTTTGCTGGCCGGCTAGATCTTGATCAGTTCTTGGGACAAACGCCACCTCTCTCCTGCTCTGCAGCACCTATGCCCAAAACCTCCTCTTAATGTTTTCTCCTCTGATCCTTGACCCATTTCACACCAGGAATATCAGAGACAGAGGAAAAATAGGAAGAGGAAGAAGGGATCAAAAAGTCACATGTCTGTCCATGCACATTTTTTTTTAAAGATTTTATTTATTTATTTGTTAGAGAGAGAGCACAAGCAGGGGGAGTGGCAGGCAGAGCCAGCAGAGGGAGAAGCAGGCTCTCCTCAGAGCAAGGAGCCCGATGCGGGACTCGATTCCAGGACCCTGGGATCATGACCTGAAGCCGAAGGCAGATGCTTAACTGACTGAGCCACCCAGGCGTCCCCGTCCATGCACATTTTTGTGAACGGAGTCCACGGGCTTCTGTGGGGACTGTTTCTTCTTCCTCTTTTGTTATCCTGAGAGTGGTGTGCACTTTGGCTGTCGTATATGGGTCCCTTCCTTCCTGGTGTGCCCCTGAATTGCCAGTCCTGTAAGGAGGTGGGAGGGGTCCCCTCGGGAGGGGCAGCCCCACCTCACACGGCAGCGGCCCCGGGAGCCGTCCGGTGGGCTCTGGCTCGGCTGCAGGGATGGTCACCTGCGGGACGGTCTCCCCCTGCAGGCCTGAGGCACCTGTCTGGGTCGGAGCTGAGCGAGCTGCTGGACCAGGTGGAGGGCGCCATCCGGGACTTCTCGGAGGAGCTGGTGCAACAGCTGGCCCGCCGGGACGAGCTGGAGTTCGAGAAGGAAGTGAAGAACTCCTTCATTACGGTGCTTATCGAGGTTCAGAACAAGCAGAAGGAGCAGCGAGAACTGATGAAGAAGAGGCGGAAAGAGAAAGGTCTGAGCCTGCAGAGCAGCCGGATAGAGAAGGGAAACCAGATGCCGCTCAAGGTAGGTGAACCGCCCCGCGGGCAGACGAGGTGCATCCGGCCTCGAAGCCTCGCCGTGTGGGGCCCCGGTACCACGCCTGCACAGGCCCATGAGCAGACCAGGATTGAGCAGTGACTGTGAGCAGGACCCTTGGCAGCAGTAGGGCTGTAAAGAGAGAGAAGGCACCCCTTTCTCCTTTCCTCCCCTTGAGGACCTCGGTCTAGCTGGGGGACACCAGACGTGGACATGGGAAAATACTTGCGTGTGGTCTGTGTTCCCTGAGGCACGACCTTAGAAAGAGGGGTGAAGGTGGCTAACATTGAGGGGCGCTGTGCCCCGGGACTCAGGGTCGGCATCCCCGCTACTCATCCTGACTGCTCTCTTTAGGATGGCGGGGGCGGGGGCGGGGCGCGGTTGTTTCGGGATTGAAAATTCTGACGCCTTGCGGTAGACTGACAGGATTCTTCAAACTAGTGGTTCTTGATCAGGGAAGCTCAGGAGAATCCTCCAAGGAGATTATTCAAAACACCTTGGCCGAGGCACTGTCCCAGACCTCCTGAATTGGGCCTCGGCTTGTGCATTTTGGAAAAGGCTTCCCAGATGAGGAGAGCAGCTTTACCTCTGCTCTCCCCAGTGGCCGGACATTTTGTTTTCCTCTGTGAGATGCTTGCATCATCACCTGCCTCAGGTGTACGGTCCTGCTTTATTCTTTCTGTCCACACGGAGGCTGAAATGAGGAAACCGGGGGTGTGCAGGGGGACCCATTGCCTCGAGGGACCACTAAGATAGGAGTCTTTGAGACCCGACTCTTGGTTCTTGCAAAACTCAGGCTTAAATTTTGGCCTGTTTTTTAGCTCAGGTGTTATCCGGGGCAGGGTGGTGGCCGGTGGGTCTGGGTGGCTTAGGGAGGACACCCAAGTCCCCTGGGAGTGATGACTATGAAGCAGGAAGCATGGAAGGCATCTATCTCCTCCCCCTCTCTCCCCAGCGCTTCAGCATGGAAGGCATTTCCAACATTCTGCAGAGCGGCATCCGCCAGACCTTTGGCTCCTCGGGAACGGACAAACAGGTACAAGCAGTTCCCCAGCTCCCAGCTTTCCTCCTGGACTCTTGCAGCCCGGCCTCCCCTGCAGACCGGGGCGTGGTGACTCACTAGAGTTATCCCAGCCCTCGGGCAGAGGGAGGTCTTAACATCTTCTTCCACTCTTAAGAAGGGACAGGCAGGTCTTTTACAAGGTGAACTGGTTTTTGTCTTGTTTTGTTTTGTTTTGTTTTGTTTGAGCTGTTGCCGGGCCCTCAGGTGCAAAGATGAGTCAGTCTTGGTCCCTGCTCTCACGAAGTGCATAATCTGATAGAAAGGGCAAGTGCATAAACGGACAAGTTTGGAGTAAGCGCACGTAATTGTGTTCGTGCGTCGGACATCTTTGTAGCTGAATCCTAAGGGTGAGAATTGTAGCACTGCAGCATGCGAAGAGATTTGGGGAACATCTAACCCAGTCCCCTCATTTTGCAGCGGTGAGAACTAAGATCTGGAGAGATTAGGTCTTCTCTCAAGACCACACTGCTAGGGGCAGAACCAAGACCAAAATATAAGTCTTTTGGCGTTTGGGCTGGAGCTCTTCTCATTGGGGGACCGAGAGAACCTCCCCCCCAACCTTCAGGATCTCTCTGGCACCCTGTTCTCGGGCCCCACCAGGCCAAGATGATCTTGTTGTAGAAGCACCTCATATCCAGCAGAGGGAGCAAACCCAACGTCCGAGACCAAGGTTGAGGTTCTCTCCCTTGTCATTTTTGACAAAAGAGAGACCGTTTGATTTCATATTTCACAGCAAAGGATACAAAAGTATAATCTCCCTTTAAAATGTTCTCTGCGCTAACCCTGAAGGAGAAAAAGCTCACCAGGACTCCTAAATGTCCAAAAGCTTGTATTGTCAGAAGAATGTATTCGATGGCATGGAGGGCTAGTATGGGAAAGACTTATTTTAGAGACTTTCGCCAGAGATGGGGAAAGGGTCCCGAGGCAGTGGTGGGCAGAGTATCATGGGGGTTGCTGAGAGTGTCAGCTTCGATGGAGCATGTTGGGGAGAGACGATCACAGTCCCCATGCGAATTGTCAACGGGTCTCCCCTGTGGAGGGTCCACACTTGTGTCTCCAGCCCTGCCTGGCATGTCTGTATGTTTATCTCATAGTATCTGAACACGGTCATCCCTTATGAGAAGAAAGCCTTGCCCCCGTCAGTGGAAGATCTCCAGATGCTGACAAACAGTGAGTTCCTCTCATCCCCAGAGAGATGGGCTCCGTCCCTCCCTCCCCGTGAGGGGCAGCGGTTAGACGGGTCAGGATGTGCTCCGTATCCCTGCGTCACTTTCCTCCCATGCAGGGGCAAAACTAAAGTGCTCTGCAGTGTTACCCAGAGCTGTCTTGTTTTCTCCCTGGTTCCTTTTAAAGGGCAGAGTCTTGCCAGGAAGGAATGAGCTGGTGAAAGAGGTTGGGGGTGGGGGGGGGGTGCCCTCTCTGTGGCTCACCCAGCAGTGCTCAAAGCCTTGCCTTCCCTGCCTTGTCTGGGCAGCAACTTGCGGTTGCTCTGTCCCACCTATGGCCCCGCAGCAAGGGGCTTGGTCCATGGGGCTGGCTGCATTTTTAAGAAGCAAGGCTTCTTGGGTGGCAGGGGTGGGTGACCAGAAAGAATAGTTTTCTTTCCAGGAAATGACTGCCCCCTCTCCTCTGCTTTGGCTCTATTGTCAAATATTAATAAACATCCTGAGTGATGGGAGAAACCAGTGTGTGATAAAGAGCCCTTTGTAGGCAAAATCTCTTTACGTACATCAAGCACAACAACCCCCCAAGGGCTGGGGGTGCACAGTATTAGCCATCAGTGTCAGCCTGATTCTTTTAGGAAGAGAAAAATCCGAGGCCGAGATGGGGTGGCAGGCTCAGTGAATCACAAGAATGTCCATCTCCCTGGCAACCGTGCACTGCGCCCAGTGACATAGTCACCGGGTCTGTCCAGCCCATCGGCGCCCTGCCTCCGCCTCTGAGGGAATGGCTTGAGCAGCGGGCTAGGGCTAGTGCAGGGCCATTTGCTACCCCAGGGGAGGGCAAGAGGAGCTTCTTCTGTTCAGCTGAGGAAGACAGACACCTGCTGCCCCCCCTCCCCCCGGCCCCGGTGCTATAAAAGTGACCAGACATTTTCATTGTTATCAATCTGGGGAACCAAAGCAGAAGGTTCTGGTAAACAGAAACACTGCCTACATCCATGGATACCGCGTCCTTGAGAATCTCTCCTCTTCACTCCTTTTAAACTCCTTTATTTGCATACATAGGCACTAAGATTTTTTTTCAAGGGAGCAGACAGCAACGAACTGACATTTATAGGTGTTTGTGTTTTCACAAGTAGTTAAGCATTTGGAAAATAATTTGGACAGATTACGAAGGTTGATATATGTAAAGTACTCGATCATTTTTTTTAAAGGAAGAGCTATAAATTTATTACAGATACCCATTCAGGAATTCAGTGCGAAATCCTTTCATTTTAATTAAGAAACAGTGAGTTTATTTACATGTTTCAAGTTCGTTTAAAAATTTTTAATTGGAGTGTATCCATCATTTAGAATAGTTTGGAAATACAGAACAGTGAACAAAAGAAAATAAATAATTCATTGTCCCCTCCACTGTGGTTACTATTTTGGTGTTTTCAGCCATAATGTTTTATGTCTTCTGCACATACTTGGGATTATACTGGCTATAAAATTTTGTATTATGATTTTAGTCATATCAGTTAACATTTGGTTAACATTCTTTTTATGGCTCTCTCTTCTATCATGTGGGTACACCACATTCCAATATTTTATTCTTTTTAAGAGAAAAAACTGCCATCTTCCCTGAATGTGAATTCTGCTGCAGGTTATAAAAGCTTTCTTTTTTTTTTTTTGACCAATCCTCATATGGATCTGTGAATGTCTCCTTTTTACTCCTGAACCAAGGATGTCCTGGACCAGCTCTTGGGACCGGACAACTCCTATACATTTTGGATTTTGGCAATGAACTTAGACACATATTGGCTGAATGCAAGGATTACATTTTTACAGCTGTCTTCTTCTTTTTTTTTTTTTAGATTTTATTTATTTGAGAGAGAGAGCACAAGCAGGGGGAGGGGCAGAAACAGATTCCCCACTGAGCAAGGAGCTGGAGGTGAGGCTCGATCCCGGGGACGTTGGGATCAAGACCTGAGCCGAAGGCAGACGCTTAACCCACTGAGCCACCCAGGCGCTGCCCACAGCTGTCTTCTTGGTGCAGCATTTTGTGTGCCCATATTCAGTTGTAAAGTACTTCCAGCCTGTTAGGTTGACAGGAATACACATCCAAAACCTACAGAAGAAATAAAAGAAACCAACACCTGGAGAGCCCCAGTTTCAGGCTCTTTCTTTCCTCTGGACCTGGCCACTGACTCATGCCACCCCCAGGTTCCATCCATCACCCACTCCCCATTTTTGGAGTCAAGTTTCGTGACCCTGACCTGAAGCAAGGCAGGGTCAACAATGGAGAGCAAGGCCATGGAAACGGATGGAGATCCATCCCCATATTGTCGAGGCTGCCTCCTCCTGGTGACTGGTGTTGGCTGACCTTTACTGCTTTCCCTGCTCGCAGAAAAGCAAAACGTACTCATTGAAGAAGGCCAGACCCGGGGCGCCTGGGTGGCTCAGTTGTTAAGCCGTTGCCTTCGGCTCAGGTCATGATCCCGGGATTCTGGGATGAGCCCAGCATCAGGCTCCCTGCTCGGCGGGAAGCCTGCTTCTCCCTCTCCCACTCCCCCTGCTTGTGTTCCCTCTCTTGCTGTTTACAATATCTTAAATATCTCTCTGTCAATACAATATCACATATCTCTCTGTCAAATAAATAAATAAAATCTTAAAAAAAAAAAAAGAAGGCCAGACCCTGCAGAAATAGGATGTAGAAAGGAGCATCCCCTGTGGTTTTGCATCCAGAGATAACCAGTCTTAACACTTTCATGCACATTCTTGCAGATTTTTTCTATGAATATTAGCATTTATTTATTAATTTAGAAGTTAATCCATAATGTTCTGCAGCCTTCTTGCTTCACCGGTAAATATGTCTTGTACCCATGGATCTGTTTCTTGTTTTTCATAGAGCTCTGTAAGACTACATGGGATAGATACACCATGGTTTATTTAAGGGATCTGTGATGAAGAATATTATCGGTGCACTCTCTCCTCCCCTCATTTTATGATATTGTAAACAAAGTCCAACAACATTCTTAAAAGATTTTCTACAAAGCTGACTTCCACAATATGAATTATGAATATGAGAAAGCGCTACCTCGTTTAATAACAGAAAAAACTATTTTCAAAACTTCTATAAAAAAAGCCTTTACACTTTTGTAACTTCCCTCTTGTTTGCCTTATATGTGTGTAAATCATGAAGTGTCTCAATGAAAAGTCTATGAGCTCCTTGAGGGTCCATAATTCTTCTGCATTTCCACAAATTCTAGCACTATAGTGGGCATAAATAGAAAATAAATTATTTGTTAAAATAAGTTCATTTGTTATTGATAAATAGCAATAATAATTTATGATTATAATAATTACAGAAATGTTTCCAATATCTGCTTACATGAATAGAATGTCCTTAAAGACTTTTATTGGTGATTCAATAATGTGATGATTGTTATTCTTAATTTATATTGCATCTGAAAGCTGATTCTTTTTTAAATTGCTTTATTTCTTTTCATGCTTATTAAAAATAGATACTTAGGAAATAATGTGGAGATTATAGATGAGCAAAAAAAAAAAAGTAAAATATAAAAGAAAATAAAGTCACCAGCAGGCCACTCTGACTTTTTGGATGTATTCTACTCCATCAGCATGTGGAATGTTGATGCTTGACAGAAGCTGCTAGACGTTTGCTCCATACCCAGTGAATGTCTCGTTTCATTGAATCATTTCTCACTCTTGGGTCGGTGGGTTGTCTGCCTAGAAGTGAGCTTTATGCCCTGCTGGCATCTCGGCTCATCTCCCTCTCTCTCTCTCTCCTTCCCTAGTTCTCTTTGCCATGAAGGAGGATAATGAGAAGGTGCCCACTTTGCTAACGGACTACATTTTAAAAGGTGAGAGCAGCCCCCGGGACCCCTGGAGCGCGGCTTCCTGGGGTCCCCTCCCCCAGGCCTGCCGCGGGGGGAGCCCGCTCTGCTCCTCAGCCTTCCCGGAGCATCCTTCCACCCAGACTGCACAGGGCACACAGGGCCAGGGGCCGCCCGTGGGCAATTGTGAGGCCCTCACAGGAATGGGGTTTTGTCCTTGCATGTTGCCAGGAGGCGGGAGAAGGAGATTCCTTCATCCCAGAGTCACCAGAGCGCCACCACATTAGAGCAGCAGAACCAGATTGTGAAAGTTCTGGAGAGTTCAGGCTATTTCGTGGGGAAAAACCAGAGCCCCAGGCTACGTGTACTAGTCTCAGCTGCTTGAAGTCATGCCTAGCTACATCCTTTCCTGACTTTTGTTTTATCTTTTATTAAGGAAACTGTTAACATATATGGGTCGAGTGACCGGAATAGTGAACTCTCATGTACTCATCCTGCTTCAGCGACCACTGATTCATGGCTGATCACTGTTCACTTACACCCCTACCTAGTTTCTCCCCTCCATATTATTTTGAAGCAAATCCCAACCATCAGTCTTCTTAATCTATAAGTATTTCAGTGTACATTTCTTTTCTTTTGTTTTTTTTTAAAGATTTTATTTATTTATTTGACAGAGAGAGACACAGCGAGAGCAGGAACACAAGCAGGGGGAGTGGCAGAGGGAGAAGCAGGCTTCCCGCCGAGCAGGGAGCCCAGTGCAGGGCTGGATCCCAGGACCCTGGGACCATGACCTGAGCCGAAGGCAGACACCCAACAGCTGAGCCACCCAGGCGCCCCTCAGTGTACATTTCTAAAACATAAGGACTCTTTACAAAAAAACCTAACCGCAATATAAATGTCTCAATATCTTTGACTATCCAATCAGGGTTCACATTTCCCTGTTACATTTTCTCAGTCTGTTTGAATCAAGATCCAGTGAAAGCCCGTACATTGCAATTGGATAATATGTCTCCTAAATCTCTTTATATATATATATATATATATATTCTCTTTCCTTTCCTCTCATTCCTTGAAATTTATTTCTTGGAGAAACCAGGTTGTTTGCCCCATAGAATTTCCTTGTTTTGGCTTCTGCCAGTCGGTTGTGTCCCCATGGTTTAATTTAATATGTTCTTCCATTTTTTGTATTTCCTGTTAGCTGGCAGAGCTAGAGGCTGGATCAGACTCACTCTCAAATCTTTTGATAAGCATTACGCGGTCAGTGGTGCTAAACTTCCATTAAGAGACACACATTCTCTGGTTGTCTTTCTTTTTGTGATGTTAATATCTGTATTAGTCTGCTCAGGCTGCTACAACAAAATGGGGGGGGCGGGGAGGGGCGGGGAGGGGAGGGGCTTCAACAACAGAAAGGTATTTTCTCACAGTTTCAGAGGCTAGAAGTCCATGATCAAGATGCCAGCAAATCCAGTTCCTAGCAAGGGCTCTCTTCTTGGCTTGTAGACAGCCACCCTCTTGCTGTGCCCTCACGTGGCCTCCCTCTCCTGTGTGCACGTGAAGGGAGAGAATGCTAGGGCTCTTTGGTGTCTCCTCTTATAAGGACACTAATCCTATCAGAGCAGAGCCCCATCCTATGACTCATTTAACCTCACCTCCTTAGAGGATCCATCTCCAAATACAGCTGCACATGGGAATTTGGTGGGGTGCCCCGGACATTCAGGCCGTAACAATATTCACTGATGGTCATCCGTTGTCTGGATTCTTGATTTCATTCAGCTTTGCCCCACATGCACACACGACGTTGGGTATGGTTCCAGTAGGCTTGTGGATCTCGGTTAAGAACCTCTGGGTGGTATTGTTTCCATAAGGATCAGAAAGATTAGTCTTAAATTTCTGCAGGAGGACTTCAGGCTGAACATAGGGAAGAACTTCTGCCTCTTAAAGGCTTTCAAAGCCAATTTCTCAAAGGAGGTCTGTGGAAATGGGATCGGTAAGTCTGGGAGCCCGAGGGCTGGACCCCTTTCCCCACCGTGATCCACGGAAATGTCAGTGAATTCATAAAACTAGTTAACATTTACTGAGCACTTTCTATTTGCTTCTGAACAACCCTGTGGGGTAGGCAGAGGCACCGTCTACTGCACACACGGAGGAGCGAGCGCAGAGAGGTGGAGCGATTTCCCCAAGGTCGTAGAATTAGCACAGGCCAGATCTAGGGTTTGAACCCAGGCAGACAGGCATCCGAGACCTAATCAGTGCTCCAGACAGGCTACCTCCCATTGTCTCTTCCTTCTTCCGGAAGGAAGACATGTGACTGCAGTTATTCCCTGGGTCCTGGAGGGCGGCTCTCTGCTCGGGACAGGACCGCCTCTCGGCCGGGGCCCCCCTGGGCTGGCAGGTCCTGACCCACGCGGTGCTTTGACCTCTCTCCTCTCGCCTTCTCTTTGCAGTGCTCTGCCCCACCTAACCTTGCCCTCGGGGGCAGCCTTGCCACGGAGGTCACAGAGCAAGAGTCATTACATCCCAGGGACTGCATGACACCACGTAACCTCCGATGTGTATTTAAACGTGTATAGCTTAACCTGGATTAAACATGAGCAAGCGCGCGGGGTCCTTTGCTGTTGGCTTCTAGTCCTAGTGATCATTGGATGCATGACCGAGGGGCAGGGCTGGTGAGGCGCCTCCGCCGGGGGGAAGGCAGGCGCTCTCACCGCTCACGATGTAGCCTGGCTCCAGCCCTCGAAAACAGCTTACCCTCTAAGACTAATTTTGAAATAAACCTTCATTTAATTAATATTCTTCATGTGCCCCGGAGTGTGGTCTGTCATACCTGGAGAGAGAAAGGCTGCGGAGCTGCCTTTGCGAGACGTCCCGGGGCCTATGGCAGATGGCCGGGCATGGAGGGACCCGAGTGTGGGCCCCCCCCCGCCGTGGGCCATGGGGGTGCTGCATGGGGTACAGTCAGAAAGAGCAGGCCATCCACAGACCCCCAAGATCTCGCTGCTTGGCAGCTGTAAAGGGGGCTGCGCAATATGTTCTAGGAACTACTGACAGGGGGTGTCAGGCCAGCGGGGGACGGGGAAGTTAGCAGTGAGTCTCAAGGCGCAGCCCGTGCCTCCTGCTGAGATGGCCACACTGGTCCTTGCCAGACCCTCTGCGGGGACCCGGAGGCTCGGGGGCTGGAGGGAGTCAGCTCTGCTAGCAAGCCCAGCTTGGGGGATCGCGGCCGTTGCCCCAGCGCCCCAGTGACCTCGGGGAATGGTGTCCTGTGGCCGTGCGCGCCCTCCCCTGCCCTTCCTGCAGCCCCAGAGGTCCGACTCCTGGGTGCTTTGCTGCTCCTGGGACCAGCAGGTGACTGTTGTCCTCACACCTGGATGCTGCCTTGATTTCACCACAGCCAGAGCTCGGAACTCCCTTGGCTTCCATCTTCTGGCTTGAATGACAAGAGCCCCATGAATTCCCACAACCCCATCTTTTTTTTTTTTAAGATTTTATTTATTTATTTGACAGAGAGAGAGAGAAGGAGCAAGGGGAAAGGCAGAGGGAGAAGCAGGCTCCCCACTGAGCAGGGAGCCCGATGCGGGGCCCGATCCCAGGACCCTGTGATCATGATCTGAGCTGGAGGCAGACGCTTAACCGACTGAGCCACCCAGGCGCCCCTCCACAGCCCCATCTTCAAACAAAAACCTTTATGGAGCCCTTGCCATGTGCCTGCTGCTGACCCTATCAGGTCATAACTGAGTGTCCCAGAGGGGAGGAGGCAATGGTGTCGCCCAGGTTTTACGGAGAGGAGAGCAGCCAGCAGCGATGTTCAGAAGGGGTAGAGTCAGACTGACCCCTTGCACTCGCTCTTTGTATGGCATTTGCTTTAACCGAACGTGCCAAACAGAAAGCCATACTTTGTCACACCGGCAGCTCCACAGGAGGCTGTGGGTCAACGTGGGTGACAGTAGAAGGCATCCCTGGTGCCTTGCCTCTCACTTCTTGGGCCTCTGCTTTTCTGGGAGCAGGGCTGCCGAGCAGGAGCCATCTTAGCTTGGGGTGAGGGGGCCCTAGTCCTCCAGGGAAGCTGCCCGGTGCCTGCAGGTCTAGCTCAGGCATCCACCTGGAGCAGAATGTCTACGCGGGTAGAGCCCTGGCTGCTGTGGGAGAATCGAAGCAACCACAGGCACCCATGCAGATCCTTAGGGGCCAACACTGACGAGTCCCAGTGCTTTGACAGAAGGAGATGACTTCAGTTCTGCATTCATTGGCACTGTGGTTAAGGATGCAAAGGGTCACTGGGGGCACCAGGTCATTTGCCGGCTGTGGGGTTTTTCACCCGTCTCAGCAAAAGGGAAGCAGAGAATCCTCCAGAGCTTTTCTTCCTGCCTTGCATTTGTCAGATCTGGGTCAGCCACTCCTTCCCCCAGTGTATCCTGCCAGCAGGTGTCTGAGGCAGCAGAGACAAGCTAATCAAAGTTGCTGGCAGTTAAAAATAAATCTCAAGTGTCAGGAATACATTCACGTTAGAGGAGGTGAGCGGGCAAAGGTGGGGACAGTGGTTCCGCTTGTCTCGCCTTTTGTCCCCATCAGCAGTCTTAGCGGGGAATGTTAGGTCCGATTGTCATGGCTGTGCATGGTCCTTCCCTCTATCCTTGCTCCTCAGCGTGGGGAGCTGTGAGAAACGCCCCGGCCCAGACCTTCCACATCAGAATCTGCATTTTAACAAGCTCTCCAGGCAATCGGTATTTGCGTTAAGGTTCGGAGAAGCTTTGCGTGGAGGCTGAACCTGAGTGCGAAGTGCGGTGCTCAGGTGAATGCGATTCCCCGCCCGCAGCATTCCCCTCTGCTCATCCTTCCGGTTACAGAAGCGCGGGGGAGGCGCCCCAAGGTGGACTGACGCTTCCGGCTGCGGGCGGCCCTCGCGGCCAAACGCAAGTCCGGTCTCGGCTGGCCGCACACAGCAAGGGTACTGGCGGGGCCCGAGTCTGCGGGCAGCCTCCTCAGTAGGTAGCAGGTGGACTTTGAGGGATGTGTTAAAGGCTCCAAGTGTGGCTTTTGCCAAGTGTCACGTGATCAAGTCCGGGTAAGGAAACTCCACGGTAGAGCCAGACACGAGCCTTCGTTTATGTGGGGTTGAAACAAACAACCACGTGGGGACAAGCTGTTTTCCAAACATTCCCTGGCCTCCTCTCTCTTTCAGGAGGGAAACAGGTGTGATAACTCAGCAGGAAAAGCTAACAGGGAAGAGTGTTGTGGCCCCAACGTTTGTGGGATAAATTGGCTTTGAAAAATTAAAGAGAGCTTTTTCGTGCCTGCTGGACGGTCTGGAGGATGACTTTATCTAGCTGGTGGCTAGGGAAGAAGAGGTGTGGTTGGTCAGTGAGGAGGTGCATCCTGCAGGTGTCTCAGGAGGAACCATAAATCAGGTTCTGATGAGCACCCAGTCATTCCGTGCCTGCTCCAAGCACCTGCGGTGTCCCGCCTCCCACCTCACCCAGGCACCGCGGCTTCGGGGGTCTCACCAAAGGCCAAGAGCAGGGAGGAACCCCGGGGCGCCCAGCCTGCCTTGCAGCAGGAGCACAAAATGGGGAGAGGGAAGTCCCATCACTGAGCCAGCCTCCGTGATTAGCATGCGTGGAGGGCAGAGTAATTAAATGCTGCTCTTGGAGAAGAGACTTGCGTTCTTGATGGCGCCTGATTATTTATTTCCTCGAGAGGATGAGAGGGTAGTCTCCAGGCCTTCTGTCTGAGCCTCAGCTTCGCTCTCCTCCCTCGCGAAGGGTCGGGAAGCAGAGGCCCCTCTGCTGACCAGAAAGGTGCCTTGGCTTCCTATCAATGCCTTTCTTTTTAAAAGAACAATGAGCCACCTTAGCCCACAGCCCAGCAGCTCCACACCCCGCCCAAGCCCTCATGCATATTCATCCTGCTTCAAAGAGCACAGCATGGAATATGCAAATTGGCCAGGCAGGAGCTGGTTGGCATTTTGATAATAGCTTTGTCTGAAAAACCCCAGAGACACATGCACATCTAGTTCCTCTCTCCCTCCCTCCCTCTGTCTCTTGCCCCTACGCTAGTGTCCCCCTCCTCATTCTCTCTTCCACCCTACAACCTGCCTGACGGCAGCAAAGTGCATGGCAGGACCGCAAAAGCAAGTTAGCGGAAGAGCGGGGGTCTGGGTTCCAGTCTGGAGCATTTCTACCCGCCCCCCAACAGCGTCACGCTGGTGTTCTCCCTGTGGAGGGTTGCCCCGCCTGACAGTGCCCCTGGGCTGCCGGCCCGTCCACTCTGTCTGGGGACACATTCTCTGCCATCTCCCTTCCAACCTGGTTTTGCCCTTACTCTCGGCAGTCAAGCCTAAGAGCCCAAGAGCCTAGCCTTGTCCTCTGGATGGGAGGGAAGGAGTCACCTCACGGGTAGGAGAGGAGGCTTGGATGTCAGCTGTCATCATGGACAGATCGCCGGGCCTCAGTGGTTCCCGACCCCACTCTGCGGTCTCTATAACACATCCAAGCAGCCGTCAGCCACTGGCCAATCGGCCTTGCTGTTGTCCACTTCTTTATCCCAGTTTGTGGATGGTCAACGGCAGCCTCTTCTCTAAGATGAGCTCTGGGGGCCCCCTTTCCGAAGCACAGCTCCTAGAAAAGTGTGCAGAGGTCCGGTCCCTGCCCCCACCCCATCCCCTGCACCTCCCCCAGATGTAGTCGCTCCAGTGAGGAGCTGGTGGGCTCTGGGGTAGGTGCTCTGCTGGGTTGGGGGAAGCAGGCTAAGGTTTGGATGCCACATCTTTGAATGCTGTTGCATGTGGGGTGCTTAGAGGAGAGAAGCGAAGAAAGGTGCAAGGATGCAGGCACCTCTGAGATTGCAGGGAAGAGGAGGGCCCTTGCCTCTGACCCCGAAGGCCAGCTCTGGTCATGCTGGGGCTTAGGGGGACAAATCACCTCATAGGAGGAGCATGGGTTTTGGCCTTCGGTTCAAATCCCAGCTCTACTATGTTTTAGCCAAATAATTTTTAAAAAAGATTTATTTATTTATTTGAAAGAGAAAGACAGCAGGAGCGAGAGCAGGGGGAGGGGCAGAGACAGAGGGAGAGAAGCGGACTCCACACTGAGCATGGAGCCCAAAGTGGGGCTTGATCCCACGAGCCCGGGATCGTGATCGGAGCCGAAACCAAGGGTCAGACGCTCAACTGACTGCACCACCCGGCGCCCCCATGTTAGCTAAATAATTTTTGAGACAATAATTTCTCTGAGCCCCAGTTTCCTCATTTTAAAAATGGGAATACTAAGATCAGTAATTCTCCCAGGGTTATTCTGAATACAGTGTCTTGCATATATGCTAAACGCTCAGTAAATTGTACTTTTTACTAGTAAGCTTCAAGGAACATAGAGAAAGGGCTGGGCGCTGTGGCCTTTCTATTGTTGGGGACCTGATCATGTTTTCAATCCCGTAGGCTCAGAGGAGCTGAAAACAAGACAAGAGAAGGAGTGGGCTATTCCCCTAAACTCAGCCTTACCCCCTACCCTCTGTCCTCACTAAATCCTGCTTTCTGGTGGCCCAGTGAGTACTGGCACCTGCTGGTTCCACAGCCTGTGGCCTCCGGGCACCCCTGGACAAGGAGACAAAGCAAAGAGGCAGGAGCCGGGTCATATTCTGATTTCTCAGCAGGTTCATTCAAGGGGAGTGGTGCAGGAGGGAGGGTGCAAAGTCCCATGTATTTTTGCACTTAGCGAAAAGATTCTATTTTCACTGCTAAGGAGGCAAGTAGAGAGACAGAAGAGGAAACACACAGACCACCCCAGACCCAGAGAA